GTACAATATTGTAATAACTAATTTCAGAAAGTGAAAAAATAAGATATTAAAGCTTGAAATGTTTGCATATATTTGTGTACTGAATGTAGAAAAATAAACAGTTCCAATGTATTTATTTTTCACTGAGAACAGGTTTTTGAACTTTTTCACAATATATATGTAATCTTTAACATAAGTGTATGTTTCCATCTATTTTAGTTTTATTTTAGTATGTGTTGCCGTTTGGTTTAGTTAGTAGGTGGTCTGTTGGTGGTTAAATCTGGGCATGCTCTGGGTGATTGTGCGATTGCGGCGATAGAGCGCTGCAATGAAAAATATGGCCAGTCAGTTTTTAACAAACAATACGTTCATGCTTTGCTGACACTATTGGTTTGCTAATGTGTTCATGACGAGGTTTGTTAAAAAGTTAAACTTTATTGTCCCCGTAGGTGTAGGGAAAATTTTCCTCTGCATTAGAGACCCATCCTTCGTTGCAGCTCAGAGCTCTGTCAGGAGCAGTGGTCGCTGCAGTATAGCGCCCAAGGACTCATCCACAGATAATGATGCCCTGCTTGGTGAAGACTACAAGAGCTGGTTGATTTTGCCTATTAGACATGTTTTTAACAGGATTCAAAGCCAAGGCCCTTTTTGCTTAGATACAAATACTCTAAATAAATGAATACATTCAATATCAAACTGTGGCTTTTTCCAGACAAAATAGCTTTTGGATAAACAAAAGCAAGCACCAGAGAGGTTATAAAAAACATCTAAATGTGCCACAGTGATCCCAGTTCATCTCTATAAGAAATGTTTCAGAAACTGGATCACCATGTCCAGTACTTTTCTGTCCTCATAAAAACCCAACTTCAAGTGAACTTGAGTTGTGAGACTCTAATCTGGGGCCAGAGATCTCCACCCACCCACTGTTCTTCTTGCGCAGAGATAGGAATATTAGCTTTATTCATTATTCATGGAGGGCAGAGGCAGCAGAGCCCGGCACCTCTGCCAAATCAACCATTTAGCTAACAAACACATCAAGGCACGCCACACTGAATACTGGATTGGCGCTCAGCATGCCGAGTGGGAGGCCACCCCCTGCAGCCATACTTATCAGAACAACAGCAGACCAGGATAAATGGAGTTTCCACATGATCGCAATACCCTTTCTATCACTCCAATATTCCCTAGCAGAGCGAGCGGAAATGTATTCTCATACTGCATTTTTTAAGATATTTCTGCTGCTGAAATAAAACCAATTAAAATCAAATTCTGACAGGTTGCGTCTTGGAAACATCCAAAAACAAAGGCACATACCATTTTGTAGATGCAAGACACTATGATTCGTTGCATTTTGAACTGGAATTGATTTGAAACGTAAGGAAATTGGTTAATTAAAAACTTCACACACACTCAACCCTTGAACAAAGCCCGGCAGGAGCAGGCATTATTACAGACCGCAAGAGTCTGTCAATCAAACCGCACCACTACTGTTATTTCAAAGTGAACTCCCATCTTACTTCCCATATGGCACAGCTCAAGCAGGAACAAAAGCATCGTGCATCAAGTGAATACCTTTGAAACCAGATTTGCAAGGAAATAGCTGAGTTGTTTGTGCAGATATAGCGGTGCGTGTGGAGCCGCCTTTAAAGTGCCGCTCACCGCAGGAGACATAGGACGGAAGCGAGAAGCAACTTTTTATCTTCCATAACTTAAAAGAAAACACGAGACACTGGGACAAGGGAGACACAGAGAAGGAGGGGCGGCAAGAAAAATAAAAGTATAAAACGTCTACACTGGTTGTATGACTATCACGCTAATAAAGTTGAACACATCTGACTGACGGACACATTTCCTGGTTGACAAGTTAGGACTCACAACTACTTTGCCATTTACAACATTTGAATGTTGGCGGTTACAGAAGTAGGAGAGGATAATGTCTAATATATTATAGATGACAGTTGATTTAGTTTACATTATAATGCAGGTCTATAGACTGGCTAACTGGACTAAATATCACAGAGCATATAAGTGAATATTTAGTCTGGCAATCGTTCATTAATTTTCTCGTAGGAGAGGAGTGGTTTATGATTGTCCACAGCCCATTATTGGGAACTAAAAATGTCTAACATGCGTCTGTACGTATGGCCTCATTATATCTATTCAACATGATAAAGTATTTTGTTTGCGACAAGAAGGGAAAAAGCTTCTGTCTGTGGAAGAGTGAGTCAATGTTTCAGTCTTTCCTGCTCTCTGATTTGTCAATATGCAACATTTTTAACCCTTGTATTATGTTGAAAAAAAATGACATTGATTATGTTGCGGGTCAATTTGACCCGTACTGTGTAAATGCACTCAAAACAGTCAAGAAAACAGTTTAAACCAATAACAACTTTATTTTAGGTTATATCAATATTTAGAAAAGTGACATACAATACATTTTTAGTTCCAATGCTATATTTAAGAAATATTTAGTCTAATCTTCTTGTCCTCCTCTCGGGTCAAAATGACAATTCTTCCCTCCTGCCATGCTTTCTCATCCTCCTCTATTCCCTTCTCTTTTCTCTTCCTTCCTTTCTTCCTTCTTTCCTTCCTACCTTCCTTCCTTCCTCCTTCCTCTTTCCTTGACCAAAGATTCGTCCTCTGAATCCTCCTTATCGTAGGAAAATTAACAATCTGGATCAGCAATAACATTGTCCTCTGTCTCTGAAAAATCCTCTGTTTCTGAAATCTCTTCCTCTACATCATTATCCCAGTTAAAAATCTGTGATAAAGCCTCCTCAGATGTCATCCTTCTGGAGCTCATTTTTGGTGAGTTTGTCTAAAGCCTAGCGCAAATCAACAGAGTAACTGGAGACAACTAGTTGAAGGCGGCTTTTGGCAACTGAGAGTAGATGATGGAGATGATCAGTTGAAATCGGTCGATGTGAGCGCTATTACAACTGGAGATAAACAGTCGATCTCCAGTTTCAGTCAGTCGCCCGTGTTCTACTTTTCGGCAACTAGTTGTCCTCAGAACCGGAGATATCACCCGATGTGCGCGCTCCGTGGCGCGCTCCAACAACATGTGTGTATTGCGTGTATTGCGCCCTCAACAGTTTATGTCAGAAAACACACTGTAGTTGAGGCCAGTTGCTGTCGATGTACGCGCTGTTATTCCCGAGACTGGCCTGATACTAGGAGTTGCCCGTTTTCGCCAGATTGTCGATGTGTGCGGGGCAGCAACTCAAAGGCGACGGATATAATGAGTTGCCAGTACGATGTACGCTAGGCAAAAGAGATGACATGAGAACAGTGACAAGGACAGGTGTGAGAAAGTTCCCTCTCTTCACACACCTGGCTCTGGGTCTCAGAGGCAATCAAAATACAATGTCAATGAGACATGTTTTTTTGGATCTGAACAACTATTTACCCACATTAAAGCGTCTGGGTCAAAATGACCCGCAACATCATCATGGTATACAAACTCTGCACAGACATTCCACTACACATCAAAGTGTCCAGATTTTACACACCAGTTCATGACCCTAGATGAGGAAAAGTCACCAAATTTCAGCAAGAAAAAGAAAAGATAACCAGTACTTTGATCAACATAAAAACTGAAATGGGTCAAATTGACCCTTAACATAATACAAGGGTTAAGTTTTAACAATGTTACAAACGTTATTTTCAGCTCCATCCACACCACTCCTGTACCAGTAACTAGCACAAAACAAATCCGTTCCTTTTTGTCTAAATGCTGCAATCTCATATAGACTTCTGGAGAGAAGTCTGAGCATCTCTGATTAGATTGAAACCCCCGTAACCTGGACGAAAATAAGGCAGAGGAAAATTGATGGAATTTTGGATTATCCCTTGGATATGAATCCTCTCTTATTATATTGAGGACATTATTTCACACTCACACATGATGTACATTTTCCAGATCTCTCCAGTTTAAGATCAAAGTGAACACACATTATAGAATTATTCTTTCTTTCTCTTATTAAGACAAAATATTTATTAAATGACATTTACTAACAATAGAACTTTCTTAAGATGGGGGTACTTGGGGGGTGCACTCAGAACAGCAAACTTTGGCTACCACTGCTTTAAAACAAGAATTAGTTTACAGATATAGCAGCCTGTATGCACATGTGATTGGCTTAGGGCCCGCTCAAACAGAGCAGCACAGCTGTGCATCTCTGGAGCTGTTTAGAAGTTCATCCCCCCAATGACAGCTCTCAATCTGTCAGCTGAGGGGGAAGACAGGGTGAGCCGGAGGGAGAGGGATGGGACACTGACATTCACTGTGCAAGAGGGAAATAAAATCATTATGAAGGCGCTAATCAATAAGACAACTCAAACAAGTAACTCAAACATGGCAGAAACTTGATTTTTCATTCTGTTTTACGTCTTGTTATAAAATGTAAAACCTAATGAACAATGAATGTATTTGTATAATATACTAATACTACATTGTAATTTTTTATTAACAACAGTATTAATTTAGACTGGGAAAGTGCATGAACATACATGTTACGCCAGATTATTGCAGAGGATCATTTCCATCTGTAGTACCAGAACAACTATTATGTCTTCACCTCGTTTGTTTACTTTAATAAAATGGTAATTTTATAACATGATAAAAAAATATAATATATTTCTAAATTATTATTTCTTATTCCCAAGGTTTTTTTCAACCGTTTTATCAATAAAAAAAACTATATTTGAAGAGAAAGTAGGTACAATAACATAATACATTAAAAAAGCAATATTACAGTTGATTGATTTGATTGCTGATTTCAATGTTTTCAGTATTGGGGGCAGGTACCGGAATTGTGCCTATTTTGGGGGCCCTACTCTGAAAAGTTTGGGAACCCCTGCATTAGGATGAAGGCACAAAACCCCGAAGTTACAGCCTTAAGGAAGACTTCATGTTAGAGCTTGCTGTACTTGTGAACATGAGGCAACAAGAGGAGCACTCTGTAGTCATAACTACCACTCCGGAAAATATTATATATTAAAAGTTAAATGTTTCTTACCTGAACAACCTCGTCATCCTCTTCCAGAAGTCCTTCCAACACCTCCACAGCAGTCTAAAAACACACCATATATATTAAAATGTGTTATTCATTATACAGTGTTGAAAATGAGCAGATGTCTTGGGTCAGTGTCCTGATAAGGGTCTGAGGCCATCGTCCAATCAGCAACACCATCGATAGCAACATGGCGCCTGAGACACCGGCATCAATAGACACAATCGCCAGTGCTTATCGCAGAGTCAATAGTCACTTGCACCGCTCTGCTCCACAGCCCTTTTAATCCATTTAGTTACATTAACACTCAATAGATTCTTAGTATCAGCAGCCATCCAAAGGCAGAGCGATAAACCTAAATGTCAGGCTGACCCGTCCTGTCCCCTGCCTTCACACGCCTCTGTTTTCCTCGGAGCCGGAGCTTTCAGGTCTCAGTGGAGTGTAATGTTTGGTGACCTTTGCTTCAGCGTCACTGTCTGGGTCAGTATCTGTGGGAAGTTTCTATTACAGAAAACAGCCTTTGACTAAAGTGGGATACGTGTTTGTTTTGGTCCTTCTGCCTGTGGATCCTGTGGTTGTGTGCCTTTGTGAGGCAGGCCTCAGGTGATGATATATTGATTTTAGTCAACTTCAGGTTGAAGGCGACTGTTAGCCAATCACCCGTGGTGAAGGGCAAGAATAAAAGATACACACACACTTGTGTACGTGTGTACTTAAACAGCAGGGTTGAACAAACCAGTGAGCACAACAAGCGCCGCTCTCCTCTCGTTAAAGCAGTCTTATTAGTTGGAGAGCCTCCTCGTTTTCCTGCTGCTCTTTGAGCACCGTTTTTCTTTTGCAGGAAGGACTGAAGGTACAGGTTAATTGAAAGCATCTTATTAATGTTTGTAAAAGTCTGCGTCAGCGCAGCTGAATGATCAAACCAATTATCAACTCAAGTTGTACGCATTTAATGAAACAGTGAGTCATTAAAACCACACAAACAAAAACACTTAAATTCAGCTTTTGATAAATGGGTTAAAGCCTCGCCCGGGTCTTATCTACTTGACTTTCAGTGCATCACCCCAGTGTGAAACTCACAGTAAATCGAGCTAAGCCACTTGATAGAAGAGATAGGCCAGATCTGTGTGGATATTAAACAATTGATACAACAGGCACTTTCGGAGCTGCAGAAATAGAACAAGAGATTTCTGGGAGCTAAGATAAGTGAGTGCTGATAAGCGTTATATCATCTACAGCCACACTTCCTCCTAACGACACTGGTCAACCCAGGGGCAAGTGATTAAAGATTCAGAGATCTTAAAGCGTCTTCACGCTCGAAACAACAACAAGATTAATATTCTCATGTAGAAGTGAAGAAAATAAGTGGCACAGCGCAGGAAAAGCTGGGTTAAACAGTATCTTGGTAAACAATGCAAATGCAGCCCGCGAAAAACAATGTATACAACCCTTTGTGGGCCGTCCTCTTTTTTTAACCTGTTTGAGGAAAGAGAGAAGCTCATTTATAACCGCCATTGTGCATGTGTGTGCGGCTGCGGTGTGTGCGTAATGCTCAGGCTGTTTTGTTTTAACAGAATCATTTTGCCGGCGCGCACAGTGGAGACAGGAGAAAGACAAATCACTGTACAACCGAGGGCAGCGCCTATCTCCAACACGCAGAAGCCCCAACACGCTTGCATACACAAACCGGGACATCTGCGCTTAAGTAAATAAATCCAATGTGTCAGCTGCCTCTGGACGTCCGAGCGGAACCTGACGAGAGTTTAAGCTGAATTTAGAGACGGCGGATATGCAGCGGTGGCAGAGCAGAGCGACGCGAGCTCATCAACTGTTCATCAGCTCAAATGAGCATTTGTCGAGTCGAGCCGATGAAGATTGCGTGTCCAGAAGGGTTGGGTCGTTTGATATTGTGATAGAGTGAAATGTTTTTATGGGAAATGTGGATATTGTTGAATCATTTGCATTAGGTGTCCATCAGTAGTCAATATTATTCAATAGTTCATTTATTTCAGTTAAAGAACTTGAAAGGTACCAAGCCTTTGCTCATTATAAATTTGAGGAGTATGGCTTACAGTGCATTTCGAAAATATATCTAGATGTTTTAATTAAGGAGATTTTTTTTACAAGCTGTGAGCCAATTACACAAGTTGACAGCCAAAAAATGGTCAGGGGTTTCTCAACTGATTTAGACTAATTTTGGTGTTCTGAGTCCGAATATAACATGCATTTTGCTCGATCAGGTCAACTTTTTGAGATACAGCCATAGTGTTACGGATTATGTACGTCTACGTTATTATGAATTCTGCTTATCAAATTTGATGGAGTAAATAAAAACTGAATGACTTTGGATACCTTGACTTTTATTTCTTGAGGAAAACGGAAAAAACGTCAAGGGTTTCTCAGCTGATGATCCGCAGAAATTTATTTTTTATGCAAAATTGATTAAAAAATATATTTCTGTAGCAAAAAATCCTGACCTGATTGAGCAAAACCAAGGGCATTTTCGGACTCAGAGCATCAAAATTAGTCTAATTCAGCTGAAATAAAAAAAACCCATTGTTATTAACGTTCTAATACATACAGACAATATCACAGTATGGATTCATGTAATGTTGATGGCCATTGGGTATGGAAATAGTTTTTTGTTTGTTTTTCCCCCTTATTTATTTATGTATTTTGACGGTATTGAATATTATGGCAATGAATGTATTGTTTTTATTTTTTTGTAATGCGTTTGTTTTAACCTAGACCCCAGAAACATTAGCAACCACTTTGGTGGAAGCTAATGGAAATTCACAATAAACAGGCTTGATATATGGCTCACTCCACACTAAACTGTCCCATTGCTCAATCTAACTTAAAGCGACAATAAAATAAATGTATGAACTAAAAATGTTTGTACCTAAACATTTGTTAATACCACGTAGCCTATATATATATATATATATTTACATAGTATAACCTCAGAAGGGCAGATAAAACTATTTCAAGAAAAATGGATGCCTTTCAAAAAGCTTGCATTGAACTTTTGGGACATAATTGTTACATTTAGGAGGCTTTGTGAATGGAAGAATTAACAGGACAAAGAAGACTATTTAATGGTTAACGGCTGGAGATATAACTATAATCGGTATGTATTTAGAGATTTTACATTATGCAAAAACAATATTATTCAATAACTGCGGACAAACTAGGCGTTTTGGACGTAACAATCGTGTCCACTTTTGTTATGTCCAAAACGGCCGTCTTGGAGCGCTGTTCAACAACAAATCTGTGTTTACGTAGTGCCCCCTTCACTGGACAAACAAGCTGGGGACAAAACAAGAGTGGGTCTGTGAACAGTCAGCAGTAACGGCCGCGGACATTTCGGGACTTTTTTGTGTCATTGACCAAAATGTAACACATTGATACAGTTTAGTTTGGAGTGAGCCATATCTCACTTTTTATACGTTTTGTTGAGAATGTGCTTTTATACTGCTGGCTGCACCTGAATACCCCGAGCGAATAAAATCATTTAATCTTAGATCTAGTGATTTTTTTTTTTTATATATATCGACCCCAACTTGCATGCGCTCCTTCTAACTTCTAACATTAATAGCAGCCGTAACTCTGTTCTTTGCAGTAGTTGAACAAAAGAAATAATCAATTTGTGTGTGGTACAGGATTGGGCGTTTTGAGAGTTTTTATTTGCAATGTATGTTTCGATAGTAGGATTATCTTCAAAGCCCACGTTTGAACTTTGCCCATGCAAAAAGATGTATTTACAACATGGTAAAAACGGCTTCAAGAAGACATGATACTTTGCTGAAAAATTTCTTGTTTACATTTTTCACTAAGACTAAACCTGCTTGCTCCATTAGCTAATCTTATTTTCAGATACTCTGCTAAACTCAAACTCTTATGAACTTCTTAAATCGGATTAAAGTACAGCGTAAGCAGATTCTCACAAGATGAGAGATAATCATTCGAGGTTTGTGTAGGAAATATTTGCACGAGAGATCCCTATACTTGCACTTGTCTATTCAAGAGTAACAAAGTGCATGAATAGATATATGACACTGAATACAATGTTAGAAACCTTAGCATAACAGGATGAAAGGCGTTTTCCGGCATTGACCACGGACTACAGATGTAAACATTATTTGTCACCAACACTAGAGGTGTGCCCGCTAAGAAATGGAGTGGCCATCGTAGTCCATAATGCAGCACTACTCTGGAACAAGTGCTGCCTCTGCCCACTGCAGCGTCAAACTGCTTCTGAGGAACTCTTAATGCCATAAAGCCCCACGCTGCTGTATAGACTTTGTCATGTTAGTTGTGCAATGCAATTCTCCATTTGTATTTCGAAATAACCAAACAGGCTTGAAACACTATATTTGGCTGTTTCTTGAATAATTAAAATCAAAAGGTAGTTGCCATAAAAAAACAATGCATGTATCAACAACCAACCAAAAAACTCAAATCCAGGTACAGTGCTTTAAAGAAGTGTACATATTGTATTAGACTTGTAAGTAAGTCATGTTTACTTATATAGTGCATTTTACAGATCAAGGTCACCCCAAAGAGCTTCACAATGTTCAGAGTTCAGATATTTGTCCATTCTCTCCACACAGTGATGACGGAAGCGAGAGGCCGGACACACTGGTGCATCAAAGCCTTCTACCAACACCATCCATTCACTCACTCATTCCAATCAGACCTATTGTTTGGGCGGCACGGTGGCTGAGTGGATAGCACTCTCGCCTCTCAGCAAGAAGGTCCTGGGTTCGAATCCCGGTCGGACCAGGGCCTTTCTGAGTGGAGTTTGCATGTTCTCCCCGTGTCTGGGTAGGTTTCCTCCGGGTACTCCGGTTTCCCCTACCACTAAAAATATGTCCAATAGTTCTGGCATGCGCTTCCTGTACTGGCGACCCCGCTCCCATCTCTGTGTGGAGTGAGAGACAAATGCCCAAAATTAACAATTGTAAACCGCTTTGAGACTCAGATCTGCAGTGAAAAGGCGGTATATAAATAAAAACTTACTTACTACTTACTTACTTGTATATGTTTAAGTGGTAGGG